AACTTACATATGTCGCTGCAGATGAACCAACAACAGGGATATTGCTGATATCAGCCTGAACGTTTTCCACTTTACTCTCCATTCTAGGCCTGCAAAGTTAAGATATTTGCATCAATAAGCATGAGGATCCCGGTGTTTCTTCACACACTCATGGAGCTAAATAACTGGACCAAGTAGATGGAAATTAAAGATCTGAGAAAGTACTCTTGTGCGATATTAACAGTGATGCGAGGACGTCCTGGGACCCGACGAATTAGGACAGATGTATTCTTTGGTATTAACATTGCTTCATCCAGATACTCTGAAAAATTAAAACAGGTAACATATAAAGGCCACATAGACAGAGTTCAAACATGTTAGGCAAGAAAGTATATCAAAGCTTCTTGAGAAATTCTAGAATCAGATTCCAGCACACTCTTTCCGAACAGTTGACGAATCAAGACAACTAGTATAACCTAGTAAACAATCATAGTTAACTCAAAGATAGAACAGCATGAACTAATTCAGTTGATTCGTATGATTGTGTCACATAGGTGCAATCACTTACTACCACCAAAGCAGTTAGTTAAAAGCAAAGACAGCTGCACAACACTTGATTTGGTAACATCTGACATTAGAATACAAACCTTCGTTAGTTTGGGAATTGGAGACGGCAATATCAATGTCTTTACCAGTGCTCAAATGCTTTGATTCGAAAATTTTGTCTTTGAGAGTACCAACTGATATAAAAGGACCATCCATGGCGATGGTCTCATAATCCCTTGCACTCTTAAACTTGTAATAAATTGCCATTGAAAATTTTATCTGATAAATAAAGCAAAATACATATGTATTACTATTTTATAAAAAAAAGAATTATAATTGACACGACGAACTCCAAACTCAAGAGCTACTATTTTGAAAACCCTAATCGGATTTTGAAAACCCTAATCGAGGCCTTTGGATTAATAAAAAAAAAAATCGAGGCCAAAGATTTGGTTTCCAAAACAAAAACTAGATACATACGAAAAAGACCTAAAATTCGATTTTTACTTCGCTGATTCGACTTCAAAGACGTAACCTCCACGCGTGCAGCAAGACGAACACCAAATCTACAAATCCAAGAGAAGTTTCTAAAGATTCAAGCACGAGAATCTCCGTTTTGAATCAAATCGGAGTTATAGATCGCCGGGGAAAAAAGCTGGTGTTGCGCCGCAGATGTCTCCGAATAACCTCCGATCCGATGATCTTCACAACCGCGTGGTAACGAATCCGACGACAAGCTTCACTCCATAAGATCCGCGAGCTCCAAGCACCGATTCCAGCAGAAAAGGATCGAAATCAAGAGACCGACGATGAATCTGGGAGAGATTGAAAAGGATCTACAGAGAAACCGTAGAAATCGAGCTGTACGATGTCTTGACGAGAAGCAGATTGATCGATCTTGGAATCTAGGGTTTGGATAGAGAG